CCTGAAGCTCTTGGAAGATCTAACATGTGAACAAAATCAGAATTCTATTAGCAAGAAAGAAGAGGGAGAGCAGTTTCTGCTATAATTATTCACACTAACCTGCATAACTGAAGAGAGAGTTACACAAACTGCAGGACCAGACTCTAAAATGCAGATTCCCGTTGTATCACCACCAAATCAATGATTTGTGTAGATAAATCCAGCCACTTGTCAAAGCAAGAGAAAACAGCTCCCCCGGACACAGGAGACTTTCACTTCTAGGGTTTGAATCCCAAAGGAAATACACTGGGTAACCCCACCCCCCAAGCCTCTCTGGGTCCTGCATAACCCACCTGCCAGAACCATTCAAAGGGATCTCAGCTAGGGATGGACACTGCTTCCCATACCTGCCAACAGTGCTTGACAAAACAAAACTGAGTTGATGGCATAACGCTTAGTAATCATTTCCACCCTACCAACATTTCATAACTCAGGAACGTTTGGGTAAAACTCTCTAAGTCAAAAAACACATACACAAACAAAACCTGAATGCTAAGTCAAAAACAAAGACAAAACAAAAGCGCCAAACAAGCAAACTAGGGAATGGGGAATAGATGCAGGCACTAGCTAAAAACCTCACAGAACTGGAGGAAATTCACCTGCAAACTCCTTTTCCCAGGCTACAGTTTATCACAGAAGGAATGCCTGGCACCTGACTTCTAGACAGGTCACTGACATGGCCATTCACGAAGATGGCAAGCCAGCAAGAGGAAAAGGCCTCACACTGTGGCCGCAAGGGGCCACGTCCAGCTTTGGAAGAGGAGTCCAGATCAGACCACTTCTCCCAGAAACACAACTGAGAAAGCGAGGCGGATATTTAAACAGTTATTAAAACAAAACAGAGGACCCCAGAGCACTACAAAGGCAAGGAACAAAGAACCCAGATCCCCCAGAGAAGGGAAGTCCACAGACCAGAGGCCTACACTCAGGCCTTTACTTGGCCCTTGAGGCTTCTGCCAGCAACAGAGTTTCTCTGATGAGAAGCTATGAGGGGCTTTCAGAATTCCCACAAGGTCTGAGAGGGAAAGAATCCGAGCTCAGAACCAGTGGAGGAGAACAGAAACTGGTAAACAGCTCAGGGTAACAGAAGAGCATCCCTCGAACATTCATGCCTGCCTGAAACCACACAATGTGACTTTATTTGAGAAAAGGCTCTCTGCAGATGTAATTAGTTAAGTTGAGGTAATAGTGGAGGAGGGTGGGCCAAAATCCAATAGGGCTGCTGTTCTTCTAATGAGAGGACACTGAAACAGAGGCCCAGAGGGAACGGGCCGTGGGAAGAGAGTGGCCCAGGCTGGAGCAAAGCAGCCATAAGCAAGGGGTGCCAAGGACGGCAGGCGCCAGGGATGGCTGACAACCACCAGAGGCTGGGAATGCGATCTCCCTCAGAGCATCCAGATGGAATAGGCTCTGCCAACACCTAGGTTTTGGACTCTGGGCCTCTAGAAATGTGAGAGAATAAATTTCTCGCTGCTGTTTTAAGCCACTTGGGGTGTGCACATTTGTTATGGCAGGTCTAGGAAACAAATACATGCTGGAAACCCCAAATAAGTACGTCCTAGCAATAGGCAAAAGCAGAAATATATCTTCACCAAATGCTGAAGCCCAGGCATGAAATGCTCAACCCCTGATGGAAGTAAATTGATCTTCATCTACCCTACTTGCTTGAGCAGCAAGAGTGAGTCCCCCTGAAGAAAGATAACATCCCAAGCTTCACACAACTCTTCATACACAACACTCAGTTGAAACTACCAGGCACATGACAAAGACAAGGATGGATTCAAAAATCAAAACTTAAAAAAAAAAAAATAATAAGGGACTTCAGGCTATAGCCAAATGAGAAGTTAACAAATCCTCTCCCCAAAAAGCGACTACAAAACTGGACAAAAGTGACAACCATATTGGCACGCTGGAAACTGACTTCAAAGGCTTATCATCTGAGAGGTGTTTACGCTTGAAAACTGCTAAATTTCAGAAAAGGACATTGGCAATAACAACAGTGGGACAGTATATGACAACGACACTCATCTCAGGGGCAAGAAGAAGAGGGGGAGAGTGTGGGGAACCAGAGCACTCGGGCCCCTCTACAGATGGCAGGGGTGGTGGGCTCCAACCTCAGTCAGCAGAATGTGGGCCCAGAGCCACAGATCCTCCAGCTGAACAAAAGCAAGAAATCCGTATTTCAACATGAAATCTCATAATCTGTAAATGTGGACAACTTTTTAAAAGCATTTTTTTAAGCACACCATAAAGGGCATCTGTTCCCAAACTCAGCCTTGTAGGTACCCTAACCCCAGATGACCAAATGCAGTCCTGCCGCAGCAGACTCTCAGTATTATCTACTGTATGGTGATTTTCAACAATATCATTTTGTTTGGTCATTACTTTGGATTCAGTTCTTCTCTCTTCAAAAGGTAATGTTTCCCATCTGTAAACAGAGCTACTACAACAGCCTCGTGGATTAATTCACCATTACTTATTGTCTCCTGTCACTTCCAATTCAGTTAATTGAGCTAGAGTGGTCTACAGAGGAGCAGTAATGGGCATCCAGACACTGCCAGAGGAGGGGGAAGCTGAGAAGATCCAGGAATTTGACATCAGTCTCCCTGGGTTGGAATCCTCAGCATTGCTGTTTACTACTATGGGAACTTGAACAACTTCTGAACTTATTTGAGCCTCAGTGGCATCATCCAAAAAATAAGCACATCACCTTGGAAATATGGAAAGTTGTGGCCATGTTATCAAGCACCAGCTCCGACAGCTCTTCACTGAGGCCTGGCTTGGCAGGCACTGTCTCATTGAGCCCCCACCACAGAACTGTGAAGCCAGTCCTGTGAGTGACCTTATTTTACACAAGAGGAAACAGAAGTTCAGAGAGGGGATGTCCCAAAGAGTTCGTGTGTGACGAGCCACAAAGCCAGGATTTCAACCCCGTCACCTGACTCTAGGGTCTAGCAATAACTGCCAAGCTACAGAAAGGGCCCAGGCCAGCAGCCAGCAGGGACTAGGGAGCACAGGGATGCTCTCATTTCCATCCAAGCCTCCTCTTCAGATTTCATTTTCTCCATTTTGGCTGCCAGTAGATGAGAAGATGGCCCTTGCAGGTAAAAACCACCAAGGCTCAGTGCAGCATTTCCCCGGGGTCATCTCATGGTCCAACTCCAAAGCCAAGGTTGCCTCTGCCATGCCAGCAGCTGCCCTTGTCACATGGAAGCTGACCCATGGTATACTCCACCCTCATTTCTCTACGGTAGCTGCTGCACACACAGAAACAATGGAAATAGGAAGAAGACAAGGGCCCATGATGTTGAGGACAACTCTGGGCAAAGTTATGTCCTTGAGCAGTTCATCACGCAGTCCGCAGCATTGAGCCACCCCCATGCAGAGGCCACGAGAGGCCACCAAGAGAGGCTAACAACCCAGGTGACCAAGGCAGGAGGCAGTGGTTTCCACAGGGAGTGACTGAAAGGTGGCTCCACTCTGACTCAGCCCCTGGGTCCCTGACTTTTAGAGAAGGGACCCAAGAGCACAGAAGAAAAATCAATAGTGGGCAGCCCGGGTGGCTCAGCAGTTTAGTGCCGCCTTCAGCCCAGGGCCTGATCCTGGAGACCCAGGATCAAGTCCCATGTCAGGCTCCTAGCATGAAGTCTGCTTCTCCCTCTGCCTGTGGCTCTGCCTGTCTCTCTCTCTGTCTCTCATGAATAAATAAATAAAATCTTTAAAAAAAAATAAAGAAAAATTGATAGTGACAGGAATTCCTCTGGCAGCTGTCCCCTACCCCCAAGGGGACTATATTCTTCTGAGAACGAGCGCCTGGTGAAATGAACGACAGCAATCAAAAATCTGTTGAAGGACTGAGAGCAAAAGGAAGAGAAATGCACCAACACAAGGGAGCAAGAAAGACACAGGGCTCATTTGGCAGACACCTCTGCCAGACACAGCGAGAGATGACGGTCTGCTGTGAACGAGGGGCAGCAGCAGTGACACAGATGTCGTTAACACTAATGAGATTCAGTAATTTGGGGCAGCAGCCACAAGTTGAGGGTCTGAAAGAATCTGCTCTTTAAAATGTTGGGTAAGAGGGCACCTGGAGGCTCAGTAGGTTAAGCGCCAACTCTAGTTTCTGCTCGGGTCATGATCTCAGGGTCCTGGGATTGAGCCCTGTGCCCAGCTCTGCACTGGGTGTGGAGCCTGCTTGAAATTCTTTCTCTTTCTCCCCTGCCCCTCCTCCCACCCTTACCCCCCTGCTCATGATCTCTCTCTCAAAAAAAAAAAAAAAAAAAGTTGGGGAAGAAGGACATAGGATGTTTCTCATTTGACATGATATACTTTTAGGTCCAGATCCAAAGCAAATCATTTTAAAGTTTCCTCATCTGTACAGTGGAGAAAATAAAGGTCCCTACTATTCATTAGACTGTCATAAGAACTGAGTGAGTTAGTGTATATAAAGGACTAACGAAGTTCCAGGCTTGTACAAAATGCTCCCTACGTGTTGGTAGTGATTATTAGCATTATCCCTGTCATTCAGACATACAGGAGCATGGCATGCAAGAAGTGCTTTGACAATACTAAAATGGATGGTAACAGAGCTGTAAGCTCAGAGACCTATTGTTTCTGTTGCTGGTGTCGAAAGCAGATTTAATTACAAAATGTCATGCTATTCCCATGAACAAAATTAAAACATATCTTCGATTTCCCAACAACTGCCACACTACACTGGTGACAAAAGCACCTGGGCTGCAGGACCCTGAGCCCCCAGAGATTGCAACATGTGGTTCTGAGGATTCCACAAAGGACAACACCATTACTGACTAGAGGTAAGACATCCTCACACGTGGATTTCTGCACCAACATGCTGCCCCCATTCCAGCCCCACACAATGCCTGCCTTAACCGCCAATAAAAAATAAAAACTTTTTAGAAAAGACTACATCCTCTGTGCTCCATTAGAGTGAGCAGTACCTGTTTCGGTCTTGCTGGCAAAGCCTGCTGCCTGTTTGATCGCAGCCGCCGTTAGTGCTAATCCCCGGCTCCTCTTCAGGCCATGCTGCAGGACGGCCTCAAACTGGGCACACAGACAGGTTACCCTGCAAGAGAACCAGTTATTCATCAGTCCACCTGTGTAAGAAAAGAGACACCCAAAATAGCCCCAGTACCTCCAAGAAGGGGGTGAGTCATCAGTTATAAACCTCAGGGAAGGTACACACTTGACACCTGGATTTATGGGCAGGTAATTGATATGGAATTGACTTGGGTCCCTCAGCACACCTCTCCCCATTTATGTTCCTTTCACATACCTCCAGGAAGCCCCACACAGTCTAACCATATTCATCAGGCTCTTGAAAGCAGAGTAACAATTCACAAGAAAGGTGGGAAAATGGAATTGGTGCCAGCCAGCAGAGGAGAAAAAATTAAAGCCAATTTAAAAACAAATCAGTCTGGTGTGGGAGGGGTGGACAGCTAATTGTATCCAATTCACAAGTTCCAACTCTAATTCATATCACATATAGTTTAAGGAACCAGATTATCTTTGAAGGGATTGAATGTGCCAGCCTCCCAAATTGGAAACATTGTATAATTTCATGGCCTGTTACATACACTAAAAAAATAATAATATGAATTCTAATACTTATCCTTTATTTTGCTGTAAGAGATTACATTATGAAGTCAGATCCAGAGTTGATGGGATGAATTTTCAATTAAGTTACTATTGTGGATTCCATTAAATTCATTTCTCAATAACCAAAGAAAGAGGACCTTCAAGAACATGTTGGCAAAGAGATGAAGTCACAGCTACTACCTTCTATTCTTTACCATCCTCATAGGGCTCCTGGGCACCCAGGCCCACTGAGTCTGTGGACTTTAAGGCCCTTCCATTCACTCATGCAACCTATGTCAAGAAATCCTTGGGATGCCTGGGTGGCTCAGTCGGTTAAGTGTCCAACTCTTGATTTTGGCTCAGGTCATCGTCTCAGAGTCCTAAGATCAAGCCCAGCATCAGGCTCCACACTGAGTGTGGAATCTGCTTAAGATTCTCTGTCTTCCTCTCCCTCTGGCCCTCCTACCCCACTCGCGCTCGTGTTCTCCCATGCCCCCTCACCTCAAAAAAACAATAATAAATCCCGAACTCCCCCTATGTGCCAGGCACTACTATTCTAGGCTCTGAGGATACAAAGAGATAGCAAGGTCTCTGCCTCACCACATTTGCACAGTTCTAGCAAAGGGAGATACACAAAACTAACCAGACCATTTCAGTTAATGAGAACTCTGAAGAAAATCAAACCAAACAAGGTGGTAGATGAAGACACAGCAGGACAGGCTTAGATTCTAGGGCCTGAATGGAGGTAACCTTGGAGTTATGACCTGGATGTGACAAACACAGCAGACTGGGCAGAGGGACCCAGTGCAAAGGTCCTGAGACCATCACCATCCTGCTCAGTCTTGCCTAACTTCAGGCATTTCCTGTTCTACTCACCTCCACACCTGTAGTAATAATACTCTAAGAGTTTATTGCTCTGTGGGTGGTAAACTATTTTCAAACCTATTATTTCATTAGCTCCTCCCATCAACATTATTATATAGGTGAGGCAGGTATTATCTCCGTCTTATACCTAAAGAAACAGGCTAAAGACATTTAAGAGACAGTACATGAGTACATAATAAATAGCATTATAAGACTACCTAAATAACAACATCCATACTCCAGCCCTACCGAACCCCAAACTGATCCAAAGTAGATTCCATATACACCCCATGCTTATTCTGAGACAAATGTCTCAAGGCAAGCATGCTTATTCTGAGACAAATGTCCTCTCTTTTCCATACCCCACCTTTATTCAAGCCATCCATCTATACCAGAAAACCCTAACATGGTGTCAGCAAATACATAGCAATTGTACATTTACTCTCTGTCTGTGCTCATGACAGACATCAGTAATCCATTCCAGGATTCTGGGCAACCACTGCTAAAGATTAAAGTTGGCCCTCCACTGGAAGGAACCCCAACTGGCATCCCAAATGTAACATCTGTCCTCAGTGACACTATTTAGAAACCCACCTTGACTACCCTGCATCTAACTGAATGTCTAGTACATAGTGTGTGCTCCATAAATGCTTTTTCAACAGGTAAGTAAATAAGTAATTAATCTTGAGCCATAAGTCCCAGAATACTCCCCCACATTGAAACAACCCTCTTTGCTAGGCAGATGTCACTCTTAAACATGAGATGTGTATATGCTAGTCCTCTACAAATTCACGCAGGTACACATTTAAGGGCTTCCTGAAAGCTGGGACACCTAACAAAACCATCTAAATTCCACAGGAATCAAAACAAGCATGGCAAAAATGGAGCCCAATGAAAGTCCTACCTCAGGGGAAAAAACCAAAAACACTGGGCTATGTTTAGAGTACTCCATACTAAACCACAGCTTGGGGGCGCCTAGGTGGCTCAATAGGTTAGGCGTCTGCCTTCAGCTCAGGTTGTGGACCCAGGATCCAAGCCCCACATCTGGCTCCCTGCTAAGCAGGGCATCTGCTTCTCCCTCTCCCTCTGTCTGCCACTCCCCCTGCTTGCACACTCGCTTACTTGCATGCGCTCTCTCTCTCTAATAAAATCTTTTAAAAAATAAAAATACTTAAAAAAATAAACCACAGCCTGCACCTTTAAACAAATCATCTGCAAATATAATAATTAAATCAACAATCCCTGTTAGTTTACTTGGCTCTAACATACAAGTCAGTAACTACTTCGCCAACTCTAGATAATATCTGGCCCCTAAAGGGAATGGAATGCAGGTGAACAGCACAAACCCAGTCACCAAGGTTTGGGTTACATCATCAGTATTACCTTCCAGATGAAGACAGGTCACAATCAACTTGATACAGCAGAAAACCCAGAGGGAGTACTAAAGGGAGTATTAACCCTAAAATTAATTCACTATGATGACTACGTTGCCAAAGGCCATGCTATTTATCACCCTCCCTGTGTCCCCTTTGCATTTCCGCACTGGGCCTGAGTTTATACCTACTGATCACTCAAGACTTAGCTCAAGGGTCCCCTCCACGAGGAAGCCTTCCTGAGTGCTTCCTCATTCTGAACTTCTTTCTACTGCAGCCCTTGACCAACGTCTCTGTTGATGATCTGCTTTAGAGATGCCTTCTCTTGCTGACCTGAGCTCCCCTACAACAAGGATCATGCCTCACTTATCTTCATTGCCCCAGCACCTAGCACAATGCCTGGCTACTGTAGGAACGGTGACTAAAATGGTCCCTTCCCTGGGGGCACTCAGAATATGGACTCAATGTACATTTAGGCGAGAGCTGTACCTCAGGAGATTTTGTGTAACCTATGATCCAGACCCAGCTCAGTTAGAACTAGTGAATCAAGCAGAACACACTTGTCCAACTAGTGGTACCTACAACCCTTTAGCTTGTGGTGGGCACACTGCAGGCACTGATTTATAACCTTGTCACTCTAAGGTTTCTGTTTCTTCTCATCTTTACTCAATTATGATAATTTCTGCAAAATGAAAAGAGTACCTGCCCTAGTGGGGCTCTTTATTTTCTCAGTTTGATCTAATTTCCCAAAATGCTCTCTGTTGAATGCTTTCCGGCATCACTGTGGCAGGTCAGCTGCCTCCATGGCATCTCACCACATTTAACTTCTACTGTAAGTCAATGAACTGGGCATGTTTGTAATTAAGTAGGAGAACTTAATAGCAAATGAGGTGTTTTGTTTTGTTTTTTTAAGCACCAATCAAGAAAATCACTTCAGGCTTTTATGCATATAACTACTGACCAGATGAATGGATAAATAAAATGTGGTGTCTTGATACAATGAAATACTATTCAGCAATACTAAGGAATAAAGTAATGAGATATGCTACAACAAAGATGAGCCTTGAAAATATTATGCTAAAGAAAAGAAGTCAGACCCAAAAAACCACAAAGTGTAGGATTCCATGAAATTTTGAGAAAAGGTAAATATATAGAAACCAAAATTAGTAGTCAATTAGTGGTTGCCTAAGGCTGGAATCAGGGATTAACTATAAACTGACACAACAGAAATTTGACATAATGAAAATGTTCTAAACTTGGTTGAGTTAATGGTTGTATAACTCTATACATTTACTTCTAAAAATCACTGCAAGGGGTGCCTGGGTGGCGGCAGCTGGTTAAGCAAATGACTCTTGGTTTCCATTCAGGTAGTGATCTCAGGGTCATGAGATCAAACTTCACACTGGGAATCTGCTTAAGATTCCCTCCCTCTTGATCTGCTCCTCCCCAAACCCCACGTGAACCCTTGCTCGCTCGCTCTAAAATAATTAACTTTAAAAATTACTGCACTGTACGTTTACAAGAGGTCAGTTTTTATGGTATGCAAATTAGATATCAATAATGCTGTTAAAAATAAAAAAAATTTTGGGGTGCCTCAGTGGCAGAGTTGGTTAAGCATCCAACTCTTGGTTTCCAATCAGGTGGTGACCTCAGGGTCCTGAGATCAAGCTGCATGTTGGGCTCCACACTCAGCAAGGAATCTGCTTAGGATTCTTTCTCCCTCTCTCTCTCTCTCCTTCCCCATCGTGCTCCATCATGCACATGCGCTCTCTCTCTCTCTCTCTCTCTCTCTCTCAAATAAATAAATAAATCTTTTTAAAAATGGCCCTCAAGATGTTTAGTAAAGCCTGATAAAGGAATGAAAGAATGGAAAATTAATGGCCTTGCTCCTGCTGAATTTAAAACTACCTACCAATACCAGCACAGCTGGACACCACATGAGCTTGACTAGTTTACTGCTGAAATTCTGCAAGTGGTTTTCCTGAGCTTTGACCTATATTTCAAGACTCCTTATCCTGCCACATGAATCTATAATAAGATTCTTAAGAATCCTGTACTTTTTAATGGCAAATGCTAGAAAAAAATGACAGGATCAGCAATAAAAGCCATATTTTTACAAATGACATCAAATTAACTTTATGAAAAAGGGCATATTTCAAAGTGCTCTTTCACTGTGTTATAGGAACCTCTGGAAGAAAACCCAAGTACAATCATGAAAACGGACTGGATTATCCTCCTGTGGATGTCACCT